CCCCGCCGGCCGCGCGCCGCCGGGCGGGCCCAGGGGCCCCGCGCCGCCAGGCGGGCCCATCGGCCGCGGGCTGGCCGGGAAGCCGCCGCCGGGGGGTCCGATTGACGGCGGTCCCATTGGACGCGGCGCGCCGCCTGGCACGCCGCCCGGCGGGCCGCCAGGCGGCCCCTGCGCGCAGGCAGCACGCAGAAAGATATCCCGGTGTGATCAGATTGCAATGTCAAGGCGCGGGCGGCAGAAACCCAGAGATTTGTGTCAGCTCTGCCCCTGCCGCAATAGGTGTGCTGTGAATATGTGCTGCCCGCTGCTCGCGCTGCCGCTCGCGCCGCCGCTCGCGCTGCCCGTCGCGCTGCTGCTCGCACTGCCGCCCGGGCTGCCCCCGCGCTGCCGCTTGCGCTGCCGCTCGAGGTTGAGGCCGCGCTGGCGGCGCTTTGAGCTGTGCAACGGAGGCGTTCCCAAACGCAGAAGATTGCATGGGCACCATGGCCTGGCAATGACATCCACTCATGCGCAGGCGCTGACACCCCGCTTGCAGCGGGTGCGTCTGCATGCCCGCTTATGACACAAGCGCGCTCGCATGCAAACAAGATGCTGTCTGCAGCGACCCGAGGCGCAGTAGGCCCGGCAGCAGCAGCCTTGACCCCGCGGAAGCGGCCAAACCCACCTGGGGCGCCCCGAGGCTCATGCCCTGCATCCCCGCCGCCAGCTGCTGCGCACCCCCCACCAGTGGGCCCCCGCTGCCCGGCGGCCCGCCCGCCGCCGGCCGCGGCGGACCCAGCCCTGCGCCCATCACCGGCCGAGGCGGTCCAAACCCATTGGCTGCTGGGGGCCCGCCAGTGGGGGCGTGCTGCTGCTGGTGCTGCTGCTGCATGGGCGGCACGCCCCCAGGCGGCTGCACGCCGGGGTGCCCTGGCGGCGCTCCCGGAAATGCGCCCGGAAAGGCGCCCGACGGGGGACCCCCGTAAGGCCCCTTGGCGCCTGGCGGCCCGGGCGGCCCGGGCGCCATCGGGCCTGTGGCGGTTCGCGTCGGGTGCAGCGCGAGCGCGCGAGCCAACGTTCTTTGGGGGACAGAGTGGCGGCGGGGCATGCACGAGTGCCTGCAGCAATCCTCTTGATAGATTTCGCTGCTTCTGCGAGACAGGCAGGCAGACACTTGGGGGCTGCACCATGCACGACCAACTGCATCGAGTCGATCTGATCCCAACCGTGCTGCCCCGATTCGACCGGTTTATGCAAAAACTCTGACCTGGCGGGTATTGCGGTCTGGGCTGCATGACCTCAGCAGGCAGAGGCCACGATCTAAAGCGTGCGCTACGCCTACGCCAGAACCGTCTGCATGTGGCCTGGCGTGGACTCTTAACCCAGGCAAACTATGAAAAATTCAATCAAGGCTTGTCGGCAATGGCGTTGCAGCTATGTGCCACTGCTCCCTTTTGCCCAGACTGCAGCACCGCTTCAACCCCCACCCCGACTCCACCCCGCTGTCGTGTGCCAGAAGGCATCAAGGTGAAGTGGAAAAGGTGTAGTGGAAAAGGGGGCCTGGGAACATGTGTGTGCATGTGCGTGTGTTTGTGCGTCTGCATGTGTGTGCGTGTGTGGATGTGTTTTGTGTGTGCAAGTGCTCGTGCGTGTGCGCGTGCGTGTGCGCGCGCGTGAGCGGGGGCGTGCGTGCACATGCATTTGCATTGGCGTATGCATGTGCATGGGCATGGGCTTGTGCATGCACAATAGTTGCGAGGCCTTGCGACGGCAAGCTTGCCTTACAGGGTCAATGTGCGCGCAGCAGGGTTGGTGGCTGGTGCCGGGTTCGCAGGGGCTGCGGCCTGTATTGCGCTGGTAACAATCATGCACCAGGGCCACTGCCAGCTGAACGCAAGGCCCAGCCCGCCCCCCCCCCCTCAGTCACACCCACCCATAAGCATCGGCAAGCATCAGCACCCTCACGCACGGGTGGGAACGGCATGGCGTGCAAGGCATGCAAAGCGTACGATCACATGCTGCGCGTGTATCTGCATGGTGGTATGGGGCGCACAATTCGCCAGAGATTGTTGCGCAGCGGTTGGAGCCACATTAGTAGGCCAGACCGACCCGCCGGCACCAGCTGGAGCAGCTCTCCGCCAGCTAGCGCTGCGCGGCGGCAAAGCAAGGAATCTCGTCATGATCAAATAAATAGGATCTTGATCCCCTTTCAACCTGAACAATCAAGCAGTTTGTCACCTGCGACAGCAAGGCGAAAGCACAGAGGACCGTACGTGCGCTCCCGAGGCGTGCTGAAACGAGGCGAGTCGAGGCAGGTGGACATCACGAGCCACAACTAAATTTAAAAGGGCTTCCATCTCAGGGGGTGAGTGCGGTCGCGGCCAGGGGATTGACAAACGTGTTGCCCTCACTCTTTGCTGTTGATCAGCTTCATCTCGCGCGCACGCCCCGCGGAGAGGGTGCCTACAGAGCGCGGTCGCAGCGCGTTATCTATTTCATCACCATACAAATGCTTGCAGGCGCGTGCGAACCCGAAGTCGTCCGCGGCCGCCGGGGTTGCTGCGGCGTGTGCCACCAAGCACCTGGGATGGCAGGAAAGCCCCCCCTAGAGCCAGAGGAGACGCTACAGGTGGGATTCTGGTGATCAGGCAGTGCATTTCATCCATCTGTGGAGGTTGCGCTGCCTGCGGCACAGCCGAAGCCCAACGAACACACCTTGAACGATCTTTGCCGGCCAATGTACCGCACCCCGCCGTCGCAGGGCCGCGCCGCGGCCGGGCGCAGGCTTGAGTTCGGCCACGACTGCAGGCGAGACTGAGCTTCAGAACTGGAGTTTTGTATGGAAATTTGCAGAGGGCATCGCCGCTCGCAGCGCGGCTGGATCAGCCACTAGGCGCTGTAGTTGCGACCACCTGCAACCGCCCCGCTGCACCCCCGGAGAACCGCGCGGCCCCAGCCCCCTTGCGCACCTTTTCAACTGACTTTGCAAATTGCTATGCGCTACACAGATACCCGGGATGTCGCAGCCAGGCATGCGTGCTCTGCCGCCACAATCCCCTCAAGCAGGTTGGTCAAACGCACACCACCGTGTTTGACCAGCCCCCGCCGTGGACGCACGCCCATGCCTGCATCTTGATTTTGCGGAAATGCAGTGCCGTTCTCGTTGCAAACCAGCCGCGAGCGAGGCCGCGAGCGAGAGGCGGGGCATTTGAGGATTTTTGGCAGCGCGCCTCTGCCGCTCGGGCCTGCGCCGGCGCCGCCAGCGCAGCTGCTGCGGCGCTGGGCAATCGCGAAGTGAGGCGCCGTGCGTTAGCGGATCATCAGGGCTGCGTCAAACACGGCTGACGCCCGCCACACACTGATTGCTTGCTCCTGTTCGGCAGTGTGAGAAGGGAGATGATTTCGATTACGAGTATGCCAATGAGAAGGTGCGGGAACTGAGCGTCATCGCCAAACCGGCCCCAACATCAGCGAGTCAAAGCAGCGGCAGGAGTGCGAGGGCCGCGCTCGCCCACTGTTCTGACAAATCGAAAGCGCGGGTGTGCGCGCATTGTTTGCGGCTCCGTGGAGCGCCCCTGCAGCCGCATTTTCCTCCCCGGCCTCACCCGCCTGCCCGGTATTGCTGTTTATCTTGCCTCATGATTCAGCCCCTGTGCGCCAAGTGCGGGGCGGACATCGAAGTCAGGCTGGAGGGCGCTGCACCAGAGGCGCTGCCGCACGGCGCCAGCGTGCTGGTGAGCGGACTCACATGTATGCGTGGGGGCCGGTGGCCTGCGGGCGCTGGACGGGGGCGAGCGCGGCCTGTGCAACTGGTGGGGAGTTGCAGCAGGGTCGAGGACTTGCCTGGTCGGGACATCGCGGTTTGTGTGCTGGATGTTATCTGGGCAGAACTCAAGCCAGCCAGCAGCTCCGCAGCCGCCTGGAAGCTTCCCACGATGGGTTGTCAACCAGCAGCGGAATTGCACCCCTTGGGTTCTTGATTCGATGCATTGCCCACAACTTGATCACCAGGTGTCCCTGCAGGACGCAGACACAGGCGCGTGCCTCGCCCTGGTTACGCTCCTCGGCAGCAAGGTGGGGCGGTGGGACGGCTCGTCGGTCTGCGACGCACGGGCTGCCGCCTTGCTCGCAAGCTTGCTGCGTGCGTTGCCAGATCTGTCGCTATGGGCGGGCGGGGCCGCGCCGCGCCTCGCAGTCTGTTTTGCGTACCCTGGTCCTGCGATCTGAACTGGCTTTCGCCTTGAGCATGGCGCTCACCCCCCTGCTTCCCTTAGATTTAAAAAAACCCTATGCTTTGTTGCGTGCTGGGTGATGGGAGTATCCTATCATGATCAGCTGAGCCTCAGCCACGCGGGCTCATCTGAGGTGTCAGACTTTTCGCCCCCTTCAACCCACCCCCGCCCACCCGCAAATCAAACCCCGGCCGTCTGCGCAGGCCTCGCAGCCGCAGCCCACGTGCTCCAGCGACGACGACTCGCCGCCCACCGGCCGCCGCCCGGCGGCCGGCGGCGGCGGCGCCGCGGCCGCGCCGCTGCTGGCGTGCGACAGGCCGGGGGTGGTGCTCCCGGAGACTGGCGCCGTGCTGGTGCCTCTGACGGTGAGCTGCTCGACCCCTTTTGACTCCGATATCCATTTTGCCTGCATGAGGGCGGGCTCACCGCGCTGACGGTTTACTCACCCGATCCTGCTGTGTGGCTACCCTTGCGCCGCAGGCCGGCCGCGCGAAGCTGCCCGGGCTGCGCGCCTCTCGCCCCATCAGCACGGTTACGTCACTCGGGGGCGCCAGGGTCAAGGCAGTGCGCGCGGCCGCGGCGGCGGTGGTGGTCAGCGCGGACGGGCGCGTGGTGCCGCTGCAGGGTGTGATGCCCGCGCTGTCGGGGCGCTTCGTGGTGAGTCCAAGCAGCTCGTCTGACGCCCCCATGGCGTCATGGTGGGCGACTGCCGGGTCTCCTTGGGTTGTAATGCAGCCCTGGAGTTGAGCGAGCGGCATCGCTCCCGCAGCCCACATATCTGCCGCTGGGCAGCTGCAGCAGCCCTACGAGCCCCGGGATTGCTGCAGCACATTGAAAACTTTAACAACCCATGCTTCGAAGACCCCGTTGCGGGTCGCCACGTGATCCCTCATACGTGACCCTTCGGATTCCGATCTCCGATACCCGATCTCAGATCAAGTGCCAGCGGGCCCTGGATGACTACAGGAAGGAGGCGTTCCCCAGGGCGGCCGCTGACATCACCGTGGTCAAATACATCGGGGTCGGCACCGCAGCCAAGCTCAAGGTGCGACACACATGCAATATGCATCAACATGATTTATGAAGTTCCCTGCGGAAAGCGTGTCGCCTGCCGCATCCGCGCGCGTCACTGGGAGAAACGAAATTGGTTGAACAGGCGCTGTGGGCGGAGGCCTTCCACAGGGCTGCGGCGCACCCCTGCAAGTTGCGGCCGAATCCGTCAGCTGTCCCTCTGGCACTTTGCACGTCCCGACAACCTCAACCCACGCGCCCACCAGCCTCCATACATTCGACCGCCCCGCACGCCTCCGACACCGCCTCCTGCCCCTGCCTCCCCACCATGCTGCGTCCCCAGGAGAACGCGCGGTCAGAGGAGGCCCTGGGCCCAGAGTGCCCCCTGGATGCGGTCGTCACGGTCGACCACCTGCGCACGGTGGTCAAAGCGGCGGTCAACAACCCGTGAGTGACTGTTCAAGGCCCCCTCCGTCCGCTCGACACCCCTGCATGTGCCGCGTGTCACCGCGTCTAGCCTTGCTCGCGCCGCCTGGGGCGTGCGCAGGCCGATTTTGCTGGGTTTGCTCCCAGCTTGCCGGCGCCAAATGCGCCCGGGCAGACGCCTGTGACAACAGGCATCGCATTGATTCTCAGTACACACGCGCGCGGCGCGCACTTCCCACATCACGCCAACCCGTCGATGACGTCACCTGCCGTCATGTCCAGGGAGGGCGACCTGCACCCCCGGCTGCTGAAGGTGCTCAACATGAGGGGGAAGCTGCAGCACAAGCTGGCTGAGCTGCACACCATCCTAGACACCTGCATCGTGGAGGAAGACGAACAGGTGCGGCCCCCGGCGTGACGTCGCCGACTCCTGGGTGCCTACTTTGGAGGCTTGTTGCCGGGCCTGCCAAGCTGCTGAGCAGAGTGTGGTGTGTGGGGTGTTGTGAGCTGTGTCTCGTGGTTGTTGAGGCATGCGCAGGCTCGACAGGATCAGGGAGGGGGTAGAATTAGTCAGTGGTATATTGGAGTGCATCTGCAGTCCAGGCAGTCCTGGGTGCGCTGACTGGAAGCAGCTGCTCTAACCGTCAGCTGGTCAGCTTGGTGGGTGGCCTGGTCAATGCGGATTGCCGCAAGTGGGGTTTGAGGTTTGCAGCCTCCGTTTGCCATAAACAATGTGCTAAGCACCCCACCCAACCTCCTTGCATGCCACCGCCCGCACCACAGCCGCGCATCTGGCTGCCCGTGGCGCCGCTCGGCGGCCCCGCGGTCGGCCTGCTCTTCCCGGCCAGGCAGGGCGCCCCCCTGTTTGACCGCGCGGCCGCCGTTGTCCACAGCCCAGACGTCAGCAGCAGCGGCAGCAGCGGCGGCAGCAGCAGCAGCAGCAGCAGGCCCGCGCCTCTAACAGCGCTGGCAATCGCAGGCGGCACCACCCTGGCTTTGGGGAGCCTCCCAAGCGCCGCCGGCACTGGCGCTGGCGCCGCGCCGGGCGTTTGGGACGCGCTGGCGCCGGCCGCCGCAGAGGGGCTGGCCAGGGCCGCGGCTACAGCGTGGAAGGCGGAGGGGCACCCGGGCTGGCGCCTGCTCGAGAGCACAGCCGACCTGGTGAGTTTCTGCTGGTGGAGACCTCAGATATCCTGTGTGTAATGCTTGAAGCTAGCTGTCGTTCAGAGGTTCGAAGTCATGCTTTGGAGATTGGGGCTGGTGTCAATCATCTTGATTGGCTTGTTTTCAAAATGACAGACATCGACAGGTGGCACTCGCACAGCAGTGACAGGTGCACTAATTGCACAGCACTCGTGGCACTGGCGCGGCACTCATCTCTCGCCTGCCGAACGCCTTCTCTGTGCCACTTTATCCTGCACTTGCCCCAGACCTTCCTCAGCCGTGGCCCCTTCGCGTCCGCCGTCGCCGCCAGCGGCGCCGCTGCGCCAGACGCACTGCGACAGGCCCTCTTCGGCTCAAACGCCGGCGGCGGCGGCGGCGGCGGATCGGGCTCGCTTTCTGTTGCAGGCCCTTTGCCGTCTGCGCCGGCGCAGGGGCTGCAGCTGCAGGCGGCAGGCTCGGCCGCCTTTCCAGAGTGGGGTGAGTGGCCGCGCGGTGCAGGTACATCCAGCTCCCAAAAGTCATGCCTGATGACATCAGAGTGACGTCATTTCTCTGCGCCTGCAGGTCTGCATGTGTCGGTCGAGCAGCGCATGCCAATCGAAGATGGCCCCCGTTTGAGCTTTGGTGCCATGTCACTCATCGTCCGCTTAGCAACTCCCCTCTGCACCACCAACGGCACACCGCTTTACAGGCAGCGCCAGCTCCACCCCCGGCGCCGCGCTTGCGAGCGGCATCCGCTCCCTCGGCGGCCTGCTCAACCCGCACGGCGCGGCCACTGCAGCGGCTGCTGACGCCGGCGCCGCCTCCGCCTCAGCAGCAGCACCAGCAGCAGCAGCAGCAGCAGCATCAGCAGCAGCAGCAGCAGCAGCGGGCAAAGACATCCTCAGCGGCTGTGATGATGAGCTGCAGCTGGACGATGAGTGGCAGCTGGAAGGCGAGCAGTTACCAGAGGCCGGATCTCTGCTGGCGGCTGCCTGCCAGCTCATGAGTGCAAAGCGCGCCCGCAGCCTCGGACTGGGGGACGCTTCGCTGGGCCAGGCGTGCACGGCTGCGATGCACCCGCCCGGCGCGGCCCTGCCGCCGCTCGCCGGCGGCGGGCGCGGCGGGGGCGCGGCGCCGGCTCCACAGTCGGGCGGGGCGCCCTTCATCGCGGCCGCCGCGGCGGCGGAGGCTGGGGAGGCGCCTGCGGCGAGCGGCAGGCGCGGCTGGCGCAAGACTGACAGTGAGTGATGCCATCCAGATGAGGGACCACAGTACCTTGCCGGTGGCTGCAACCAAATTTAAAATCAGTGCACCAATTTGCCACAGTGCACACAGCAAACGTAAGCTTCCTACATCCCTGCCGCTCCAGCCATTAACGTAGACTTAGTCATGCTGCACTTTGCCCCATTCCCTCAAGATCTTCCGGCTCATGTTTCGCCCGCATTCCCCCCATCAGGCATGGAGCGCTCTGCGCCCCGGGCCCGCAAGTCTTACGATCAAGAGCCAGCCGCCGGCGCCCTCACCGCCGCATTCTCAGCGGCCGCGACTGCGGTGGCCGCGGCATACATGGAGCCAGCGGCTGGCGGGGACACCCGCAGGCAGCAGCAGCAGCAGCAGCAGCAGCAGCAGCAGCAAGAGCAGCAGCTGAGCTCGCCGTCGCGCAGCGGCAGCGGCATCCGGGCGCAGCTGTCGGGCATGCGCCTGACATCAGAAGGCTCGAGCGCGCCGCCAGCCGCTGCGGGCGCGCCGGCGATGGGGGCGGTCAACCGCTGGGTCGTGACGACAGAGGCGCCGCGGCCCAAGGGCGCCCATGGGGCGGGTGAGAGCCAACGCCTGGGTGCTCGCTTTCATAGCGTCTGCGGTGTTGCAATGCATCACTGGTGTCCGATATACGTCTCATTGCATCCGGCTGATTCTCTGGGTTCACGGCTGTACAGTCAATCAATGAGATACACCCATCTCGCATTAAGCCCAAACTCTGAACTCGCACTTATGCACCTTGTAGGTCCGGCAGCAGCATCAGCGGGATCGGCACCGGCGGCGGCAGCGAGAGCTCCTGGGGAGCTGCAGGCGCTTGCCCCTGAGGCCTGCGGCCCGCACCAGCGGCCGCCGCCACCCCTGCCGCACACCGCCTGCGCGACGCCGTTTGCCACGGCGGCGGTGGCGACGACGGCGGCGGCAGCGGCGGCGTCAGATGCCGCTGTGCCGAGGGCGGCAGCGGGGGCCGCAGAGGAGGACGATGCCGCCAGAGACGCTCTGGTGGTGGTCTGCGCCTCCCCCGCCGCGACGCCGGTGACCAAGCCGCGGCTGCTGGCGGCAGCGCCCCGCCCCGCCATGTTCGGCGCCTCAGCTTTCTTCTGCTGCGCTGGCGGCATACCCCCGGCCGACCACGGCCATAGCCATGGTCTCAGCAGCAGCGCAGGCCCTGACGATTACGACGATCTGGTCGGGTCTCTCTTGGACGCCCCAGATCTGCACGAGATGAGCGCAGCCTTGAACAGCTACTCATCCTCGGACGACGGCGGCGGCGGCGATCTGGGGTGCCCCCAGGGGTCGATTGATGGCGGGACCTCGGCCGGCGGGTTTGGGGGGTCGTCTGTCGCGTCTCTGGACTACTAGCGCGTGCCGTGGCCGACGGTTTGACCGACAGAGCCGGTGTTTGACTGGGCAGCAGCGGCGCTGGTGTCAGCCAGCTACGGGCTGCATGTGTTGAGCCAGCAGTCTCTCACATGTGTTGTTGTCGGCAGCGTTGGCTGCAGTTGGGCTGACCAACAGGTCACCAGGGGCCTGCTTACGCACAGGCTGGGTTTGACCAATGTTTAACCGAGAATAATACTGCGCGTCTGGTAGCAAGGGCGCCGGGCTGTGCACCACGCCTGGAAGTGAGGCTTGAGTGTGTGTTTGCTCGATCGCGCCCGGCTCCAGTGCACTGCTTATGGCCGCACGGCTTGCTGCAAAAGCCCTGCTCCGTCCGGCTCCGGTTCCTGTGTGTGCTTTGGCGCTGGACGCGCGTCCCGGCGAGTACTGAAGATGTTGATTCGGCTGCAAATGAATAACACTAGGTCGAGGTTGCCGAAGACACTCTGCATACGCGCACCAGTGCAGTTGCTGCCGCGTGGCTGCACACTGCGCGACGCGTGCACTTGCGATCGGGCGCGCACGCTTGCTGCTGGACAAGCGCCATTCTACCCTTTTGCAAGTATGTATCATGCGATGTGGCGATACGCTCTATATCAAATGCATAGCAGAATGCGCCGTCACACCTGCGCGCCTGCCATTCGCAGCCGGCGTGCTGCAAGGGGCAGGTGTTGCCTCCACGCACCGCCAACACCCAGCCGCCGTGGCCGTAGAAGTAGCCGCACCCCAGGACGCGTGCTTATCACGTTTTCGCCGCCGGCGCCTGCCCGTGGCCAAGCCGCGTCTGTGTCCACCCGTTTTTCGAACCCCTCCCAGCTGCACCAAACCAGCACAGAACCACTACGCGGTCCAACGCGTGCATTTTCGCGGCGCCGTGCGGTGCCCTCCCAGTCGCCGTTGCGTGCTGCGTATGCCGCGTGTCACCTAGACCCGTCCACGCACCCCCTTGGCCCATCTGGCGTTCCTGCGCTGGCAATCCGCCGCCATCAGGGGGGCGGGTCTGCTGACAGCGAGCACCTCTGTTGGCTGCTTTCGACTGATTGAAAGCGCCTGTCACACACTTTCGAGCTTGACACATATGGAACTGCACTATGTTGTTGTTGCTGGGCGCAGCGCTTGCGTCCCAAGGACCCCCGGCCACCAGGACTCACAATTGTGTGCATCAGCCAGCAGGGCGCCGTGCAGATTTCCGCGTCTGCAATGCGCGGTGCACTGCAGCGTCTCAACGCTTTGCATTGTCAAGCGAGTAACTGCATCTGCGCTGCACTGTACTACTGCGAAAGGAAAGAGGGGCACAGTGTTCACGGTTAGGGTGACCACCCATCAGGTGCTACCGCTGTCAGGACAGGGCCCAGTGCGCTGCCGCCGGTCAGTGCCTAGCGAGGTGCGGTGGTGTGGTGGCAACGGGGGGCAGCTGTGGGGGTGGAACGGGCAAACGCATGGTCAAAGGTGTGCGAGGGCGTCGCGGGAGGGGGCAGCGTCGATTCGAACCTCCCATGAGCCGGCGGAGCAGCGGGGTCGAGGCTATGAAATGCGTTCAGATCTGGCGCGCACGTGTCTGGACGCTGCGGCTGGCGAGCCTCGCTTTCTGCACTGCCGGGCCCGGCACTTGGGTCAAGCGTGTCCTCATCAACTCAGCTGCGACCTGTGCCGTGCTTATCATGCACTGGGAACCGTGCAGGTTCCGCGTCGCAAGATTATTTGTTGTGATGAACCTGGCTTCCACTGTGCCTGCAATTTGCGGGTGAATGCACCAACCCGCCTGACACAAGCATTGAGTGCACTATATCCATGCAGCAGCCCCTGATATTCGTGTTACTCGTCAGCCCGTTCGCCCCGCCTGTGGCCTAGCGAACAGGGCCGCTTCAAACAGGGCCGCTGCCGCTCGTGCCATCCGAGACGGTTGCTGCCGCGCGCAACTTTGCTGTGAGCAGCTGGGCCGGCAGGGCGCCCTCAGCAAGCCGCATGCGGGCACCTGAATTAGACAGGTATGATGTGATAATTAACTCACCGCTCCGGGTGTCATCTACAGGGAGCCGGTTGCATTGGTCAAGTCAAGGGGCTGGAAAATTATCTTAATTGTGTGCCTGAGGGCTGAGCCTAAAGGTTGCTGCCTTTCGGCAGAGGTTCCAGCAAAAACCAAAGCCTGTGAGATGTGAAGGGCTGCCAAGCCTCAGGCTGACCCTCGTCATCCTTGACGGGATGAATGGCAATCTGGGCAGTTGTGTCACGGCACACGGCACGCTTTACACGGCTAACAGGCTCGATTGAGCCTGGCGATCAAACGCCGACGGGGAAACATGACTTCTTTGAAAGCTGTGCTTTTCCTTGCTTTGTTGCGTATGCCCTGGCCCGACGCAATCTTGGCGCCCTGAGGTTTGCCACCTGCGCCGCCACCGCGCACCCGCCCCTTGGCCTTCTTCGCCCGCCAATCGCTTTTTGTCACCATGACAACGTTTCCCCTTCCCCGTTGCCTTTTATCACGTAAGTTCATGTATGGCAACACACGTATTTGCTGCGTCACGGGCTTACGGCTTGCAAAAAAAAGTAGATCTCATTTCAAATCCTTCAGTGCAACTGTGCACGCGACGCTGACATATTGCGCTGCAAGTGCATGCAAGAAATGTGTGGCATACCAGAGGGTGATTCGATTCATCAGCAGCAGGTGCGGCGCATGCGCGAAACGGTACCGCTGCATACAGACCCATGTGGTGAATGAGTGAAGTGGCCGGCTGGGCAATCCATCTGTATCCTTCACCAGTCCATGCATCCTTCCACAAGCCACAGCGGCTCAGCCTATCATGTGTTCTCTGTGCCGCCTTGCGCAGGACGCGCAGCCCAGCGGCGCCCGCGACGCCGAGTTGCGCCTGGCCGCCCGACGCCAGGCGCAGGACCTCATCCGAGACCAGGGCACGCCCGCGGCGCGCGCCGCCGTCAGCGCACTATCAGATGTCCTCCGAGGTGGCAGCGGCGGCGGCGGTCAGGATAAGGAGGGGGCTAAGGCGGCAGCGGCGCTTGCCACGCTCGCCGGGCCTGGCCGCCCGACGCCAGGCGCAGGACCTCATCCGAGACCAGGGCACGCCCGCGGCGCGCGCCGCCGTCAGCGCACTATCAGATGTCCTCCGAGGTGGCAGCGGCGGCGGCGGTCAGGATAAGGAGGGGGCTAAGGCGGCAGCGGCGCTTGCCACGCTCGCCNGGGCTGTGCGCCGAGGGCCGGGCATTGCAGTACGTGAGAGCGACGGCGCGCTGGGCGCCGTGGTGGCGGCGCTGCGCAGCCGCGATCCTGTCGTCTGCCGCGACGCAGCCGCTGTGCTCGCCACGTTTGCATGGGCCGGGAAACCGGAGGCACGCCGCCTGGGAAACCACCAGGGCGCGCTGCGCGCGCTCGCCGAGGCGCTGCGAGGTGTTGCGGCCGACACCGCGGCCTCCGCGCTCTCCGGAATCTGCCGGGGAGGCGCTGACCTTGCGCAGGCGGTGGCCGCGGAAGGCGAAGCGCTGCGCGGCCTGGCCGCCGCGGCGCAGCGCGACGGCGGCGACGGCGCCGGGGGTTGCAGTCCCGCGGCGCGGGCGCTCAGCGCAATTGTTGCCTCGGGCAACGACGCGCTCGTGGGGCAGGTGGCTGCGACACAAGGCGCGTTGGAGGGGCTGGCGGCAGGGCTGTGCTCGTGCGGCGGCGGCGCCTTGAATGCTGCAGCTCTGCATGCGATTGCGAGGGTGTGCAGGAAGGGCGGTGAGGAGGCGCGGCTTGCAGCAGGCGCCCCAGGTACTCTGCCCGGCCTCGTCGCGGCCTTGCAGAACAGCAATCGTCGCAACGCGAGGCGCGACGCAGGGCTGGCCATGTATGAAATTGCTGCCGCCGCGCCGGACCTGGCCCGGCGCATCGCGGACGAGCCAGGGGCGCTGCGCGCGCTGGCGGCAGCGCTTCCTGCTGGGGGTGCCATCAGCGACGTTGTGACGCTCGCTCTTGCGGCAATTAGCGGCGTGGGGCCGGATCTGGCCAGGCGCGTGGGCGCCGAAGAAGGGGTGATGGACGCCCTCTTTGAGGCGCTGAGGAGCGGCGGCGAGGACAGCGCCGACGTGCTCGTGGTCTTGTGCGTCATCACCGTCGCGGACGCGGACCTCGCGCGGCGCGCGGCGGACGCACCAGGCGTGCTCAGCGCCCTCGCCGCTGCGGCGCGGAGTGGCGGCTATTACAGTCATGGCGCGTCGTCGGTCCTGGCCGACATTGCCCTGGCGGGGCCCGACATGCCGCCGCGGCTTGCTGACGAGGACGGCATGCTGCGCGCGCTGGCCGCCGCGGCCGAGCTTGGCGGCGGCGCATGTGCTTCCTGGGCCCTTCTCAGCATCGCCCGCTCGGACCCGGCGCTTACACTACTACTTGCAAAGGAGAAAGCGGTGATGGATGCAATGGATGCAATCGCGGGGTCCTGCGACCACATCCACGCAGCGGTTGCCAAGGAGCTGTTGGCGACATGCTGCTCTGGGGTGGCCCTTACGCGGCTCGCGGGGGATGTGTCAAGTGAACAAGAAAGCGCAGGGAATGGCCAGCAAGGGCAGGTGCGCGCCCCATGCCCACAAGCGCATGCATGTGCTCGCAAGCATGTCTGTGTGGGTGTGTCGTCGTGCATGTGCACATGCATGCATGTCCATGCGCATGCAAGTGTGCATGTGGGCGTGCTTCCAAGTATGTGTGCGTGTGTGTGATTGTGCGTGTGTATGTGGGGGGGGGAGGCGGGGGCGGGGGTGAGAGCGCGCATGCGTGTACGCGTTTGTGCGAGCTGCGAGCCCAAGCCCGCACGCTCTGTGCAGCACTTTTTCCACATCTCATTGACCAGGCGCCGCATGCATAATCCTCACCATCCGACCCCTGCCACTGCTTGTGCACAGATGTGCCGCTCAAGCCACCGGAAGGCCTGCGCCGTGTGCGGCATGACGGCGGCAGACGGTGCACAGCTGCGGCGCTGCGCTGGCTGCGGCCTCATTACGGGGGTCGTCTACTGCGGCGACGCCTGCTGCCGGCGCCACTGGGTGAAGTTGGGGCACCGCAGGGTGTGCGAGCGCGCTCAGGTGGCGCGGGTGGTGGACGACTTGATCACGGCGGCCGCAGGGGCGGAGGAAGCGGGCAAACCAGCTCCGACACAAGCACCAGCGACCTTGGCAGCTGATTTGTAATTGCGGCCCGGCCGTTTCTGGTGCCACCTCAGACTGCAATTTAAAGCCCCCTTCAGGGGCCTCTTTTGTGGGCGACGCCCGTTGTGGTGTGTGGGTGTCAGCAAAACCAGCCAATCAACACACTGTGCTGCCTCTGCCACCCCCAACTCAAGCAAAGATGTGCGGTCTCCGACCCCACGATGCCAATCTCAAGTCTGTGTATATGTTTGTGCAGTATGTGTGTGGTGTGTGTGTGTCTGTATTTGTGTGTGTGTTTGTGTGTGTGTGTGTGTGTGTGCATGTATGTGTGTGCGTGCGCGTGTGTGCCCTGTAAGCACGGCAAGGGGACGCTGGCCACATCTTGACATCAGAGGTCACTGAGGGGGCATTTTGTGGCAGTTTGCCAAGGTTTTGACCTCGCACTAGACCCTCTCAATCTCACTCCCTCGCGCCTGATGGCTTGCGTGCAGAGCTGTGTGCAGGATTCATCCCGCAACGGTCGCAGGGCAAGACTTTGCCGTCAAAGCAAAGGGAATCGGCGGGGCCAATGTGGGCCGCTTTGAGCGGGGCCTTCATCAGATTACTCATTACGGTACGTGTCATGCAGGACCGTCCAAGCAAACCCTCTTGTGAATCTCCGCTCCCTATCTTGCCAGTTGGAGTTTTGGAGTTACACAGGCAGTACGCCAAGTGAATTGCCCGGGCGCGCTTGACGCAGACCGGGCAGGTGTAGGCAGTCCGGCAGCAGTCTACTGCAAGCATCTCGCATCCTCGATCGCGGACCGCCCTCAGCTCAAACAGCCAAGATGCTGCGATATTGCACCACCCAGTTCCCAAACGACAGCCCCCCTTCAACGCCGCCGCTTCTGTCCCTTGCCCGCCGCCGCACGCGCCGCCTTTGACGCGGAAAAGAGCTCGTCCGGGCCGCCGGCGGCGCGCCGTTTCTGGCCAGCCCCAGTCTCGAACTACGGGCGCAAGGGTTGGGATTGGTATGTCTCACATTCAACACCACAACGGCATGTGATGGAGCAAGCAAGGCCAAAATATCTTCTCATACGGTAACAGCAAGCTTTCGTTGCTGATATCCCCTCAGTTCCACCATGACACCAAACCCTCCCCAAACACACCCACCTCAAACCCTCCGCCGCCGAACCCGAACCCGTCGTCCAGCGGCGCCCCCTGCCGCGGCGCCGCGGCCCTGCCCTTGGCACTGCCGCCGCGGCCGCGGCTGTCTGCAGCGGCCAACCCCACCAGGTCGGCCACCTCGTCCTCGAAGCCGTCCAGGAAGCCCTGGCTGGAGAGGCCGGCCCTGGGGTGTTGAGGGAGTGGGGTGTGGGGGGGGGGACACGAGGGGGTCAGCGTGAGTGCGTGCGTGCACATGTGCGTACATGTGTGTGTGTGTGTGTGTGTGTGTGTGTGTGTGTGTGTATGTGTGTGTGTGTGTGTGCGTTTGTTGAGGGGGTGACAGAAGGCTCCTAGGTGCAAAGATGCTGAACCGGGGATGCGCAGGGGGTGGAGATGAGTGAGGTTGCGTGGGACCCTGGTGTGAGCACTGTCGGAAGGCACTCGTGCTTCAGGACATGCACGCACGCACGCAAGCACACCCACAGACGCGCGTGCAAGCGCACGCGCACACACACACACACACACACACACACACACACACACACACACACACACAAACACACACACACAC